ATTTTCCGGTTTGATGTCTCGATGCACAATTTTGTGCTTGTGCAGGTACTCAAGACCGGCAAGAATTTGTCGGGCGTACCACGCCAACTCGTCCTTGGGAATGGGCGTGCAGACCTGCTCGTCCGCACTCCCGGTTGGGGTGCAGTTAACACGGCCGATCGGCCCCTTGTCTATGAACATCATCACAAGGTAGAGTCTTTTTGCATCCGGGTCGTCAATCACCTCATACAGTGGGACAATATTTTTGTGCCGTAGCCTTTTCATCACCGCAATCTCGCGCTGCAGCGCGGTGAACTGCATCTGGGCATTCGTCTGCCCACCAATTCGAAGTTGGGTGTCAACACGCTTCACATGTTTGATGGCCACTAGCATTTCATTTTCCGTGTCGTAGGCCAGCTGAACTTTCCCGCACGTCCCCCTACCTAATTCCTTGATTATCTGGTAGTGATTGATGCACTTGACGCCTTGTTCGTTGCGAGCCAGAGAAGCCTTGTCTGTCACCCTCGCAGGACGCTGCGGCAGGAAGCTGGTGGTGCTGACTGAGAAGGAAGCCCGTTCCTGCGATCTCTGCGAGAGAGGCACCCCCGTGCTTGCGACAGGGATGGCGTCTGGCAGCGTCGTCGCCTGCACGCCCGCCATCTCACTGAGGAGGCTGATCAAGGAGGCGGTGTCACCGCTGTGCGTGTTGCCGATGCTAAACTCATCCTGTGACGTGATGGAAAAACGCGCGCCCGACACGGGGCCGGCCTCGTCGCCCACTCGCCACACCCGCTTGAATCTCCGTGGACTGGTATGAGGCGAACTGACGCTCTCGACGAAGACATGCGGTTCCACCTGAAAGGAGCTGTTATTTCGCCCAGCTCGTGGAACGGGATGCTGCTGTTGTGATTGCGGCGGTGGCTTCCAGAGGCGCCGCTCCTCTGGCGTTAGGCTGTTGCCGCGGGCAAGCAATTCTTGGACCTTGTGCAGGTGTTCCACGAGCTCTTCGCGGCTCAAGTGTGCAATGGCATCGTCACTCAGCATTGGCGCTGGCGGGGGGAACCCGGACACACGGAGCGAGGGGCAAAGACACACACGCAAGTGACGCGCCACCTCACGCTTTGCCCGCCACGGAGAACAACGGCCGTGGCAGGCGGCACGGAAGAAGCCAAGGGCAAGCACAGAGAGGCAGGAACAGCACTTGAGAGGGCGAGAGCGGGACCCCCCGGTCCTGCAGCAAGTTACGCCTTTGGGTGGCTCCGAGCTGTGCCCGCCTCTGGTCCCTCGGCGACTGAAGGTGCGGGCCCTCCTTTAACCCCCGCCCCCAAATTCCGGCTGTGTAGGCGCGGCGACGACGTACCGCAAAATGATGCCGTGCGCTGCAGAGAATCCAGAATAAGACAAACACACACACACTCACAGGGAGGGAAGAAGAAAAGAAAAAAATGGCGCGGATTCACAAAGCACGAGTGAAGGGGGGAAGAGGAGGGCTGCTCAGTCGCACAGGTAGGCAGACAGTGAGTTCTGCGCTCCCCCTACGCTTCCCGCGTGCGCCCTGTTCCGCCTATCGCAGGTGAACAGAACAAAAAAAAGACGCCCTGACAGAATAAAAGGCGACGGAGAGGGGGAAAGATCACCGACAGGCACGTCCTCAACGCGCATGCCGAGTTTAAGGACAAAAGCACAGCTGTCAAAGCAACCAGCGACGGGTGTGAAGGAAGAAAAAAAGGGGCGAGGAAACAAAAAGAAACTGGCCCTGCCTCAACCCCGCGGAGCGATGCTCACTTCCAGGGGGCAAGCACCCCGCCCCGGAGTCAAAAACACGAAACCAATTAAAGTTTCTTCGCTCCCCGCGTGTTTGCTTGTTCTTTTGCGTCATCACTCTCTTTTTTTTGTCGTTCTTTTTTTCATTTCCTCGTGCCGTCTCAGAATAACTTGATGACCCGCCAGCGAGCCAGCCCCCGCAGAACACGTCCACCCCTAGCACGTGGAAATGTCAAGAAGAAACCCCGACCGTCGGTGAAAGGAAAGCGGCTGAAACTCACACGTGTGGGATACGACCCTTCGTGTCGCTGTTCTTCAGTCGCAACCGCGCACGCGAGTCCAAGCAGTGGGCCCTGCTAGGTCGCGGCAACGTTAGCCTCACGCCACCGTGGGCAAGCAGGAAGTCGCAGAGGACAATTCCCTACCGCGCCCTTCTGCTCGCTAGTCCCAACCTCCGCCGAGTGGTTGTGCGACGCAGACAGCGCGCACGGAGCCTTGTCTTTGCTGTCCACGTGCGGCAACTCAGCCCCCAGGGCTCCTAGCGCCTCCGTAAAGCGGTCACACGGGAGACACACGATAAAAGTGGCGAAAATCCGGTCGTCGCTCCTCCTCAGAGACGCATTCACGGAATGGCAACAAAGGACGACCCGCCAAAAAAAAAAAACTAGACGGCCAAGAAGAAAAAAAAAACGCCTCGGAAATGATACAGCAGAGGCAACTTCTTGCCTATCGTAATGCAGACAGCTCCGGCCTGTCGCTCCCGCCTCCTTTGCCCGCAGTTTGCATCGCAGTACGGGGATTAGAAACGCTCACCCACCCCGTGAAGTTTTCTGTTCGCGGAAAGAAGATAATAATAGTGGGCCAAAACGGACAAAGGGAGGAGAAAAGTGGAAGAAAAGTTGAAACGACGAGGAACAATAAACCAACAGCAACAACAACTCAGGTGTGCTTCTCGGCATCCAGTTCATTCAAACCGTGTACGTGAGTTTGTGCACCTAGTAATGGACGTGGGCGTTAGCGAGCAGACATGCTTCCTTCCGGCAGCGCCTCGGCATATATATATATATATATAGTCACGCCGCCGACC